AAATTAGTGGGGAACCCGGTGTGATAAACATTCCAGTGGGAGACTTGTAGTGGGTTAAGTTTTGTCATATTGTGGACTTAACCCTACACATTTTATATGATTGTGTCAGATACATTATTAGTATAATTTCTAATACAATTGTCCAAAATACATTTATGAATAATTAGAAGTACGAAGTATCAGTGTTGCGGGATTCGGAAAGAGGGATTTTGCACACGTCATAAAATAAAGGCAGTTGTATGGCATGATATAGTTTAACGTATATATCAATTAGAAGTCTAAACAATTTAACCTAAATATATGTACAAATAGCAGAACAAACTGACAGTGCTAAGACAAAAACCGAACCTCTGTGCGCGATTCTTGTCTTAAGGGTCCGTTTCAACAAAGGCACAGAAGTTTGGCTCGAGTGCTCCAGCCAGGAACAGAATTCAGAGCATTTCAAGCAACTTCGTGTCAATTCTATTTCGATAGTGACATAAAGTCAAGATGTAAACCTTACTAAATATCTACTTTACTATTTTAGATAATAACACTGCGTCTGCATTACTATGGTTTGTAATGAACTACAGTAGAACCTGTCTAAATTAAACCTGTTTAATTTTTAACCCTTTTTAAATTAAACATTTTCCCCCGGTCCCAGCATGTTTAATTTAGACAGGTTTTACTGTATATGGCTGTAACTAACATGAGGCGAACTTCACCAGCACTTTGGTACCTATAAGTTTTTGACAATTCTACAAAAGTACGTAAGCTACAACACTACGTGCCCGTAACGCATATAGTGGGTGTCCACGTCCTCTGATCGATAATCATTTTGCTGTCGCGAGTGCAGATTGAAGGATGCAATTTAGTTCCTGAATCCCAGCTGTTTTTTTATCGTGTTTGCAGCATATTCATGAGAAGCAAAGCATGATATTTTTCAGAAAATAGGACTTAAAACGATTATTTTGTTATATAATATTCTCGTGACCGAATCCCTGAAACCTTACTCGTCCATAAACAAGCTAACGATCATCAAATTTATTGCCGTTAGAGTCGACTGTATTACCAGTAACACTGTCATCATACTGTCAATTGTTATCACTGTCAAATCAGAAGTTTGGCACTACAATTTTGAACTGAAGACTTCTAAAAAACTAATGATGAAATGGTGATTTCTGTCAGACTCCATAGGAGTGGTTCTATAGATCTACCTTCTCTCTTTTAAACTGATTTTGTCATCTTCCTATATCACTTGGCACATCCCTCGCATGACATCGCTGAACGTAGCTTCGTTTCAGCATATTCAGCATTTTGAGTGCAAGACGCAAGACTTAGTATCAATTGATCTCCAATATTTTGCATACAGCACCCACGCTGTTTTCAACCGATGTTCAACCAAGGAGAAATTGTCTGACATATCTAGAAAGAAACTTATTTTCATATTAAAATTGCTTCAGTGATGTCTTTCAAGCTTATCAGACAACTACACGGCATCCTCTGTCGTTCATACGCACTGAGATAGCTTCGCTTTCTTTTGCGATCAATACTTTAACGATGAAAGATTATAATAACATTGATTTAATTTGATGATGGACCCACGCGACACCATTCAATACCAAAGAATGCGGAAGCATCGAAATTAGGGTCCTCTATATTCACGTCACCCAATCTCCCCATGACTCGCCGATACTTGAGTACCTTGCGCGCCAATCGTGCATTTGCTGATTTAGCCTCTGGGTCCTTTTGGACGACGTTAAGTAGACGGTATACATTGCCACACACTCGAGCCTTCGCATCTTCGTCTTCGTAAATGAGCCGAACACGCGTCGGCGAGGTGATGGGAAGAGCCGATCGATTAGTATGAGGTCGCTGAGGATACTCATTGACGTCGTCACGATCCTTAGTGCCAGCGATTCCATTCCAAGACATTCGCCGGTGCTGAAGGTCTTCTCGTGAGCAATTGACGCTGAGATTACGATGAACCTTGCTATTAAATTTGCAAGCGCTTGTCAAGCGGTAAGTCACCGGATGTATAGCAGTAACCTCAACGAGAGCTGGATTTAATGGCATTGTAGTATGTTCGACGACTTCGTTGAAAGGTGCTTAAGTAATGGTTGGAAAAAAGCCGAATGATTTTCTCATCGCTTGTTAATGTACGAACTCATGTACCTCTAGCCATGTTAAAGTGAGAAGTGATCTCACGAGGGCGACGGATCCCGGAAAGAAGCAAGACAAAAGGTCGCACGTTACTTTGTAAAATTATCGCAAGTTGATAGTCAAACGTTGTGATGGCGAGATGGCAATACTTCAACGGTTGCAAATGTCTTACAAATTAGAGCAAGTTGTGTCGAAATTGGACGGTTCAAAGACGTGCGTATCCTTCACTGCGTCACAAAACCACCTCTAGCTTCCTGGACGTGGACGCAGCGTGAAGACGAGCCGATCGGCAAATTTTGAGATACTATGAGACAACGAAGAGTAGCGTTTTGAAATTGCGAAGTGGCTATCGGTTACATGATATTTAGCTCATGTTGGTATCATCACTTAGAAAGGATAGTGGGAGTGACATGAATGCTAAATTTCGACATTTCGGCAAAAAAATCAGCAGCTCGTCACTATTTAAATATGTAATTTAAATAATGTCAAAGTCCTTGTTGGCAGCATTAATCCGTCCAGAAAATACATTTTTATGCGCTCGTCGTGACGTTTTAGCACCTTCTTGAAAGGGTGCTCGGCTGCGATGTGGTGGTATGATCTTCTCGCAATTTTCTCGCTTCAAGCTATAGCTCTGCTCGATGCTTGTCCAACGAAGTGTCAATGCATCGGTCAAGCTCGCGTATCGGTTTACTGCGACTTTCGGGGACTAGAGGTTGGTTCTGGTCGCCTGATCGAAGTTTGAGATCAAATGCTTACCGTCCGTGAGTACAGGAAGTGCCAAGTAACATTCCAGTAGCCACAACATACTTGTAAGATTTTGAGCCACGCAATTCCAAATAGCTTGTGTAGCTAATCCTGATCTGGACAGGGATTTCTCAGGGAATAAATTCACAAAAGTGGTTCCGGAAATGTTTCTTGGCCACGCAAATGACAGCGACGGCGTATTCTTTGCACAAAAAGTCCCTCTTGAGCAGCTTGAAGTGATGTAAGATAGAATCAAAGCGCCTTTATGATATGTCTATTGCAGCAGCTTACAACATGGTAGACGACTTGATCTGAATCCCTTAGATACTGTGAGCGAACACGCCTTGGATACGACTCCGTCATTGGAATTTATGTAAGTTAAATACATTTAGCTGTATATAATTATGAATTACCCTGGTGTCGTTTATTGCGACTCTAGCTATTTACCATTTGATATAAAAATTCAACGCCAAGCTTTTGTCCAGATGAAAACGGATAAATTGACATTTGACGGCTACAATCGTGTTGTGCATCACCCGCTAGAAAATCCTCACTTTGTCGCTTTTTCTCGAGATGCTACATAAATATATCAAACCAGTTTTACTTATCGGATTTATAATCCAAAACATCAACTGTTCATAATTTGTTACCATGCTCGCGCTCATCATAAGTACTTGACCCAAAAATAAAAAAATATCACCGTCACCTTTTATACCACTCAACTGCTACTTCCTCCTTGCCGCCGTATCACCCCCATCCGATTCCTTCATTATTTATTTGCTGCGACGAAACTGCCTCACTTTCGCCAGCTTAGGAATTTCTTCAAATCGGGCAATTATTTTTTTATCAGACCCATTCACTTCTGGGCATGTTCGCGTTGCCTTGCTTGACGCCAAGAAGAAGCGGTCTTGAAGATGGTTCAATCTCTGGTTGTCGCTTAGGATGTAGCGCAAAGTCCAAAGCGTTGATTGCTTCGGCATAAAGTTGTGTAGCCTGACTCATGCGCCTATTCACCTCCTCTGAGTACTCATGTCGCTGCGTCTCATGAGCTAACATTTCATCATCTCGTTCCTGCTTCTCTTCGGCAGCACTGCGGCGCCGTGAGCATGTGCTGGATCTCCTTGAGGACGCTGGATTACTACGAAGACTTTCACGCAGAGCGTCTTCTGAGTCATCGACCACTTGCACTTCTTCCTCATTATAATATGATGATTTGCTGTCAAGATCATCTTCTTCACTCACTGCTGCTATTTCACCGTCCATCCGCTTCTGTGCACGCAAAAGCGCTTCTGCTGATTGCCGCTTCATTTCTTGGAGCTGCTGGCGCAAGAAACTCTTCTGACGCATGGGTTTAGGACGACTGAGCTCATCTCGTCGCGCAGCGTTAGCTTGTTGCTGGTTAGTTACCGCGCTGAGCTTGCCAACAGGCCGACGGCGGAGATTCTGTGCGGTCTCCTCATCGTGCTCGCGCAGCATCTTGTTCTTGCTTGTAAACTTGCTAACGAACCATGAACCAAGTCTACTATTGGCCTGCTGTTTCTGGCGACCAGCACGCTTCTGCCATGAACTAGGGGTATTTGTGTGCATTGTACTGCTCATTTTAATCTTCAACGTCACCAGCCGTGAGAGTAAATCCCTGGTACTCGAGACAATGGTACTTTGCCTTCTGAGCGTGAGCGTAAGGTAGCCGGAACGTCAGAATTTTGTAGTGCTTACGACAAACTTAGACATTTAAAGTGTACTAGATAGTACAGGTAGCCATTACATATCATGACTCTTTGTAAAGCTTTCATCAAATTCAAAAACAACAATATATGGAAATAGACAGGTGATTGGTCTGATAATGTCCACGGTACACTGGTGGCTGAAGAAAATACATTTTCTGGCGTACTCTGTTAGGACGCCAAAGAAAATACAAATTTGTAAACGGCAACATCGTGTTCGTGTTGACCCAATACAATTGTTGGTTTGGAATTGATGCGACGAGAAATAGTCGACGAGTTGCTTGCCACCGCATGGACAAGAGAAGTCTTTCATTGCGCACTACAACAAGCTTCGCTTTAAAGAAAGAAATCAGCGAAGAGAGTGTAGACCGCAACTGAGAGATGTGCAGAATATGCGCGCAAGAATCCACAGGATGGAGGACATTTCTACGAGATTTTATCAAAGAGACGACTGTGGAAGGGGTGCTCACATTGTCAAGTTGTTGATCCAATCGCTTTAGAAAGCGCAGCCATGGATCGCCGCTGATGCTGGACTTACCTAAAATTAATATGAATGCAACTACAACTTCAATGTCAATGCGAGAATTCAGGCATCGTCTTATGGACGGCGTTGAGATCATGTGGTCCCCAACCATTTGTGATGAGTATAAGTGAAGATTTAAATTAAATTGCCTAGATTTTTGGACGGTAGTCCAGTTGCGAGATAGATCCACACGCAAACTATCTATTACCATCATCAGAGCAAAACATTCACGTAATACAGTGTTAGGGTAAGTCAACGACAATACGAAAGCCTTCTAGGTATCTACTTTCTATTGAATCTAATCACTTCTTTGCTTACTTAAGCCATGTTGCACTGAATCCACTGTCTGTCTTTACCAAAACTCAAGTGTGAAATCAGATTGGACGGAACGGCGAATCTCAAAAAGTCCAAAGTCGCGGCCCCAGTAATTCTTTGGAAGTTTAAAGTCTGGGATTTTATAATACTCAAAACCATTCTGCTCGAGTTGCTGAAAGAATGCGTGAGATGTATCCACTCGGTTAAGTCCTAGCAAAATCAATGTGCGTGATGTTGCTAAGTGGTTGATCGTATGAAGCAAAGGATCGTACAGCTCTTGTAAGTACGCCACATCAGTACCCAAAATAACATCAATCTGTGATGCAGCTTTGATCTTATTGTCATTGACGTCGCTTGTCACAGCCATTGACTCTAGCAAATCCATCTCTTGCTCAAGTGAGCCCCAACTTAGCTCCGAAACGTGCACTTGAACGCCAGTACGGACAGCACGAGCATTTCTCTCCACGTTGCGTTGTAGTCCATTAACATGTGTAGATAAATCCGTTAAATAAACATGAGCCGGTCTAAAACAGGCGGCGACCATAAGTCCAACGTAACCTGTTCCACTGCCTATCTCGACCACACGCGCACCTTCAAAAATTGTACGGTAGTACTCGCGGTACAGCTCTAAGTGGGCAGCGAGCAACACGCCACTCGTCCAAATTGATCCACCAATGCCCGGCTTCCAGTTGCACTCAAACCCGAGCATCGTCTCACTCTGACTGTCATCATCAACGTGCACTCGCAACCAAACGATTGTTGTCGCGTCCTCTTTCTCCTTCAGTGTCATTTGGCCTGCACGGCTACTGTTTGTTTTATCAGCTTCGACATTTTGCTGCTGTTGGGCTAAGGCAGTAGCCTCATGGCGCGTAGCAGTCATTGGCCAACTTAGATTAGTTATGAATAATTTTTACGTATTGTAGCCATCAACCGTTATTATACAGGCTGCTTTTTCTTAAAATTGGCTCAAGTGTTGGGGGCAAATATGAAATGAGTAGAGAAGCAGTTCTAGCTATTGAAGAAGTCACGGATGGCACGAATCTGATTCTTCCAGATACTGACGTGAGTAGATCAAGCAAATCTTCAGTTTCATTGTTTGCTCCAGCATTGAGTGAGTCTGAGCAATTCAAAAAGACGCACTCTTTGGCTAATCAAAAAGAGCTCATAGCCCTCCAGAGACTAGATGATAAGTGTGTGCAGCTTCAACAAGAGGGATGTTACGCGAAAGCTCTTGAGTGTTTGGAGAAGGGACTTGTGCTGAGGCAGCATTCTTTTGGCTCAGAGAGTGACGAAGTCTGGACTTGTTGTCGGAAGGTGGGCGAGATATGTAACCTCCTAGCTATGACGTATTTGCAGCAAGACAGTTTTCGGGATGTGCTCGAACTGTTGAAGAAAGCCGAAATTTTGACAAAACGATTTCCCGCCGGTCGAGCGGTGACACTGAACAATCTAGCGTGCTACTATCGCCGACAAGGCAATTTACACAAGGCTCTAGATTGTTTGAAAGAAGCATTCAAGATTGAGGCACGTTTAGAAAATCTATCAAACAAAGCCGATACACATCTGAATATGTGTGCTGTACTCTCGCAGCTTGGCAAACATCAGAGTGCGCTTAGTCAAGCACAGTCAGCACTTGTTTTATTGCATGAAGAGTTGCAATTAGGACATGTGGAAAATATTCCAACTCGCACAAAAAATGACGGCGAATCTTCTGTAACGACAGATCCGACAATATAATTAGATCGAGTTGCAGTTTTAGGTATTGCGTATCATAATGTGGGCGTCGAGCAAGAATTTTTAAGATGCTGGGATTTAAGTCTACAATCTTACAAGAGGGGCAAGAAAATCACAACCACATATCTTGGCGAGTCACATGGAATCGTGACTACATTACAAAAGTCATTACTGAGTGTAAAGCGCAACATGGAAAGCTCGATGCGAAAGACAGACACTCGTGAAGAAGGAATCTCGCTGCCAAGTCTTAGCAGTTCTCGAGGCGCGTGTGATTTTAATGGACTTGAATCTTTGGTCACTTACAAAACAAAGGCAAGAAAGTCAAAAACAGAGTCGTCTTTGAAACTTCCCTTAGCTCATAGCAACAATGGCAACAGTAGCAACCGTTTGTAGTATTCACACTCCAATCGAATGTGCGACCGCCCTAAGAAGATTGACAAAAAGTTGTTCTACATATCAGTGCCTTGATTAGATTGATGAAATGACGCTTATTGGTGGTGTAGACAACTGTAGTAAAAAAATGAGATGTTTTACGAGATGCGAGGTAGTGTTGTTGTAATACAAGGAGATCAGTTAGTTTTCCTGCATAATGCACGTGAATCTGTGAAGACGGTGACAATTAAACATAGTCCTTACATGTCATTAGACCTCATCCCTTGTGTGGACGCTTTAGTAATTTAATGGCATTGAAAGCTAAAACATCATCTTTTAAGCTTCGTAACACAAGCAATAGATAAAGTCATGATTGATCAGCAAACGCACTAGTATGACCCAACAAGTATATCCTATGTGTAGTACAAAATTTAAGTCAATTATCATATGGAGCTAGACGTTGTCGTGTGCTCTACGTCGGGTAAGCCGGTCTTTCGACACAAAGTGTCGAGCTCGAAATTTATATCTGAAGACGACGACTCGTCTACTAGCTCATTTGCAAGCTCACTTCAAGGTCTCTTGTCTTTTGTTTCTTGTACACAAAATGAGGAGCTACTTGAGATAGAGGCTGCAGGATGTCGCTGCGTATTTCGCAGCTCCGATAGCCTCACGTTTGCTGTTATCGTCCACGAAGAGACTGCAGCTTGCAACAACGAAGTACCGGCAATTGCTTCGCGGTGTTTACAGCACCTATTACAACTTCTACATAATCAAATTCTTTTCGTACTGAGCGATCGAGGACTTGACGTACTGCGGCGACAGTCTGGTTATGACTTACGCTTACTTTTAAATGGCACAGAACGAGTCACGAGGTCATTGATAGAGCTCTGGGCAACAATCCCGACGTTGCGCTTTACAGATTGTGGCGCTTCGTTTGTTCGATTGAAACCTGAGAGACGACGAGATATTATTCAGGCGTTAGAGCATGACGAAAATGCTGCGACACCTTCAATGATATGTGGACTGCTGTTGGCACAAAAACGAATTGTGGCAATCGCTCAGCCTAAGAAAAAACAATTTAACATGCTCGTTGATGGTGAGAGAAACCAGCTTTACAGAGAAGCAAACGTTTATCGATTGACATTAGAATGATTCACGTTGTTTAGATTTGCTTCTGCTTATCAACTTTGTATACCATACGCCATCACTGGCTTCGAGTGAAACCTGGACTCCAATATGCTTGACAAATTTTAACCCCAGGTAGGTAAGAATTGGAATCGGTGACATATTGTTAAGCTGATTTTCATGCGAACTTGTGGTTTGAAGCGGATTTTTATATGCATATATGGTCTTCTTAACAAGTGACGTGTGCTTGCTGCTGCTTAGTAGTCAGCAGTCTCCAGAGCAATTTCCACATTTTCAAGCTAGAAAGGAATATGTGGTACGACATTTACATGCTAGTGGTGCAATGAAAGCGATTGAATCATCTCTGAAGAATTTCTCCAAGTGGCAGCCGCACTGTGACTTACGACTTCTAAATCATTTTATTTTTAAGAATGAACTCACAGGGGAATGCGTGGAACCAGAGCTCGTGTTCCCATTTGACAATGATGACTTTGAAACTCGCGTGCAAGTGATGAACGAATACGCCAAGCTTCAGCATCTAATGTTTTCTGCACCAGTAAATTCTCAAACACACGAGAGTCAAATTTTAGGGAAACCGTTGTCCTCTTTACGCGAAAACACGGCAGCGCGTATGGTGTACGAACGAAGTGACACAGGACTTTTTGTAGGCATGTGCAGTGCTGACTACCGAATATTTGTGTGGTTTGACTCACTATCTAGTATTTCAGACGCTAGAGACCAAATTCAAGTGTTATTAGAACGATTACGCCATGATGAAGAGCTAATGTCCGTCGCTCTTTATATTTCTAGTAGTGGTTACTCATCTGTCAGCTCGCTCGGAATGTGGCCTTGAGCTTTAAAAGAAGCACATAGCAAGTATTAATAGTGGAAGGTATCTGCTCCATTCTAATTAAGATTGGCAATTGACAATATGTATCCTTCATCATAATTACTCGGCGATCATTTCAGAACAGAGCAATAAAGCTGAGCTGAGTGCTACTTCGTCGAAAGTCTCTATCTCTTCAGATTACAGTACTATAAAAATACCTTCAGCGAATACAAGGCTTTCATTTTCATCGAGATTTACATTGCGCCAAGGTTGTTTGTAAGCATTCTTTGTTGAATCGACTCATACACGTGGGGTGGAAAATCTTATCACGTTCAGCGAATTTAAAATGACGATTTTTCTACTGCTTCTTTCACACCGAAATTAGGATTAAATACATGGTGGTCCTACCAAGTTTTATTCTCAAACCATTGCGCATGACGACATTGCGATCGCTGACTATCATTGCACGATTTAATATGTTCATTTTCGACTTAACGATTTTATATTCATGCGTGTGTCAATCAAGTACTGGGTATCAAATCGAAAATACACATAATCGGGCACGTCAGTACGATCACATGACTCTAAAGTATTGATAATTTTAGCGCAGAGCTATTCGGCTGCGCGAAGGCACATAAAATGTTATAAGCTTGAACTTTGTGCTGCAAGACACGATTTGCTTCGTCTGCTCGTAGGATGGCGATCTTTCTGCCTGCAAGCATAAGCTACTTGACGATAATCTGCAGAAGCACGAGATTTCTTACTAGTGACATCGGCCTCATTCTCCTCACTAATTGTAAACGTATCTCGACTCCGAGTCAATACATCTCTTTAGATTTAGTAAGAAGTGAACTTTTTTTATGACAGAGCAGGTTTTTAGTCCGTTGATCCTACTAAAACTCCGACTACTACCGTGAACAATACCAATACGCGATGGTCGACAGCATACAAGCAAAAGCAAAAGCATGATCGAGTTTCAGCAAAGGGCTTGTAAAGTGTTTGATGACGTCTGATTTGTTGAGACATCAGATTACGAAATATTGAATAACTACAAATACGTAGATGCGTGGAAAGTATTCACGAAACTATCGGTCTAAAAGTCGCAATTAATGTTCCGAGAAAGATCTGACGAATTTTTATCCAGCCTTCATTGTGCACATATCTATGGTTCCGCTGAGATGTCCCAGAAAAGAATGACAATTTTACAACATCCCTGCTGAGTGAATCTTTTCCTGCGTAAGTAACTGACAGAGGGCATCGGTATCGGGCTCAAAGATTTCGCTTTGCTTTACGTACACGACATTGTCAGAAAGTCAAAAAGAAAGTTTTCTGATTATTCGACCTTGATATGCCGCCTCGCTGGTTGGAGGGCTTCAAAAGAAGTATATACCAAGAAATATTAGACGAACAAGTCGAAGTCGAGCGCTTCAAGCTGCAATCCTTTCAAGATCGAGTCTCAGGCTTCCAACCCTTTGAGAGTAACAATCTCTTCAATATTCCTATCAGAACGCAAAGTCCAGCTTACTATCAAGAATAGCGCGTGAATAGGGCAGTAATTTTAATCTTCGCGGGGAGGGTAAAAACGATCTTTACTCTCTGACAGTTCTATTTGCAGTAAAACTTGAGCGTTTCCTGATGCTCGGCGAGGTTTCTATAATTCTATAAATCGTGGAGCATCGTTTTAGACTCGAAATGTCCGTCTCAGATGCCATACTTTTGATTGTGGCAGTCTCAATCATAGAACATTTTTTAATAAGTAATCTGAGCTGGCAAAAAATAAGATATTTATTCTTATATTTGGGCCTAAGTAGATTTGAACTAAAAAATTAACAACAAACAGGTATTGTTCTTTTATTTTTTGTTACTGTGACAGTTAAATTTATAATTATATTTTCACAGTACCGCTGAACATTGACGATGAATGCCACATTAAAAAATATAATGCGATCCCTTGGTGGAAAAGTATCTCTCAGATCTAGCTTGAAAGTACAGGTGATGGATTTCGATGGGTACACCTTTGCAACCAGCTTAAAAGATGAAGTTCATGTGTGTAACGGGGTTACATGAGAGTGGCCCGTCACTCTCCTAAGGGAGCTGTGGTGTGGCATACACCACAGCTACTAGATGGGTACATGGCTTGAGAGTCATGTAATAGGAAAACATTAAGGAACACCTATAAATATATTCAGTCTTAAATCTACCTAAATTTGGTTAACGTGTCCTCGGACCAAGGATCTGTGAACTGCCGTTCACTTAGAGTTTGTAAACTCTTGGAAGTCAAGCTTCCTCTGTGCAAGGTGCCGTGTGACCCGTCACAATGTGAGCTTTAGCGTTGCTGCAAAAATGGAACTTTAATGTAAACATATAAGGTCCTGCCGTTTGGTAAATCTGTAAGTGGGCTGACGACCATCAAAATGCTGCTCTTTCACCGAAAACCATTCCTCTTTAAGGCAAA